TATATTTTAATATTATATTTGCATGTAATTACATAGAACAATATGGTAATCGCGAGCTATTTATAACTATTAAGCATCTCAAACACATAAACAACTTGATGAATCTTAATAATAATAATAATAARATACATGTATTATGTTATTATTTTGTAATTATAAACGAGCAAATATTACATATTAAGCATACTGTTTTTTATTTTATAAATATAAATTTTGATAAATGTACAAGACTTCCAGTAAGTACAGTTGTTATTAATCTTTTTTAAGTATATACATATTACTATGGTTTATTATTGCTGTGCTTGGGGCTGTTCAAATAAAAGAGTGCCTAATAGTGGCATTCATTTTTTTGCGTAAGTATATTTTAAAAAAACTGACATCAATGACAGTTTCAGACAAACTAATTATTTCTAAAATGTTCAGCTTTTCTTTAAAAAATAAAGAACGTACTGAAAATTGGTTAAAAAATATTAATAGGAAAGGGTTTATTCCAACTGAGTATAGYAGGTTGTGTAGTAAGCATTTTCTCCCTAGTGATTTTAAACCTTATAATAARGAAAATGGTCGTTTACGTTTGAATGATAATGCAATACCATCAGTATTTAATTCAACAACTGAAGAAGTTCTTTGCCAGAGTWTAATAGAAAATCATGAAGTTGAAGTAGAAGGTCCTCTTGATCTGAGTATGCCTAAGTTATATGAAGAACTTCTAGTCACACCTCAGAGATCTGTATTGGTCAGTGATATTATAACTACACCTAAAACATCCACTGTATTATTTCCAGAACTTCAAATTACACCAAAAAGAGGTAGACCCCAAAACTCAATTATCACTCCAAAAACAAAACAAAGCTTAAAACATTACAAAAAAGAGTACTTAGACTTAAAAAAAAAAATTAATAATTTAAAAGAACTTTTACAAGACATAAAAGAGAAAGATTTAATTGACGAAAATGGTTTTTATGTCATATTAGAAGACTTTGATGGCATGTCTCGTGAAATCTTCAATAATCAGCTGAAAAACAAAAATAAAAATGCTAAAGGTCGAAGATACAGCGATGAGCTTAAAAAATTTGCACTTACTTTGAATTATTACTCTCCAAAAGCTTACAAGTACTGTCGGTTAGTATGCATTTCAGAAATTCACTTTATTAAATAATATATTTGTT